CAGCGGCCGAGCTGGGCGACTGCGAGGACGCGCCGGCGCGGCCGCTGTGCAAGCCCCGCGGCATCTGCTCGCGCGCGTACTTCCTGGTGCTGATGGTGTTCGTGCACCTGTACCTGGGCAACGTGCTTGCGCTGCTGCTCTTCGTGCACTACAGCAACGGCGACGAGAGCAGCGACCCCGGGCCCCAGCGCCGCGCCCAGAGCCCCGGGCCCGCGCCCGCCTTGGGTCCCCTCACCCGGCTCGAGGGAATCAAGGTGAGGGCCCCCTCCTCGCCGGGCTCCGCAGGGGCGCCCATTCCTGCGCCCGAGCAGCTCGGAGCCGCCTCGCGCGCACTGACCCCGGGCCCGACCTCTTGGTCCCTCCCCCGGCGGCGCGGCCTGGCACTCATGCTGCCCCGCTGTGCCCCTTTCTCATAGGTGGGGCACGAGCGTAAGGTCCAGCTGGTCGCCGACAGGGATCACTCCATCCGAACCCTCAGCCTCAAGCCGCTGCTCTTCGGTAAGTGTGCTGGGCGCCCCTGGGTAGGGCCAGGGGCTGGTTCGCTAACAGCCGTGAGGCTCATTTCGACCACGTGACTTCTGTTTTGCAAATGGCTGCCTCAACGTAGCCTTTTCTTTTTCCACCCAGCTGTTTTCCACAATCAAGTACCAGCATCCACCTCCGTAATAGGGTGATAAGGTGACCCCTCCAGAAATGCCGCTTTGATCCCTGCTCTCTGCTGCTGGTCCTTATATCAGCAGTATGACCCAGAGGCTCATGTTTAAACATCGTTGAAATTGTGAGCACTCCCTGCCATCACTGACTTGGTCACACTGTAGGATAGGGAGAGGGAGAGAGAAAGGATGATACTAGGTCCTAGCTGATCTCAGGGCAGGGAGTGGGATTTTCCCCAAATGCCCTCTGTGGGCTGTTTAAATGTGGGTAAGCAGAGGCTTCCCAGGCCCGCCCACCAGGGCACCCGTGTGATGCCATTGCTGGTTTCCTTCCCAGCCTGGAGCCTTGTGTTCATCTATAGCAGGCAAAGCCTTCCACGGTGACCTCATTTGGTGCCAGCATCAGAGCTCACATTTCCTAAGCTTTGTTACCTGCTGGCTTTGTGGGGCCTTTTCATTTCATTCTTACAACCCCTTTGTGAGTTGATGACTGAGTGAAGCCCAAGCATTACCTTTAGACCCCAGACTGCCTGCCTGTAGAGCCTGCACTCTGAAGCCAGCATGTTAGCTCCGAAGACTCTGAAGTCCTTCAGAGACCACCAGTGTCCACCGTGTCACAAAGAGGTTTGTCCACCCTAGCCCTGGGTACCTAGCCTAGTTACACATTTTGACCCAATTCTGGCTGCTAGAGGTGGGGGGCTTTAGGAAGGAGGCTCCAAACCAAAGCAGCACATCAGAATACTTTTTGTTACCCCTGGGATACAGTCCCGAAACTCCTGAGAGTGACCTCATGTGCACGCTGTCACCCATACTCTGGGATCGTAAGTTCTGTCCGTCTGTTGTGTGAGTGACCTTAAGAGGTTATTGTAATGTATTACTATTACTATTATAACGTTGAAGTCTGTACCAAGCACTATTTGAAGTGCTGGGAAAACAGCACGAAACCGGAGAGAGAGAAAAGAAAAGCACCAAAATCTGAAACTGACATTTGAATGAGAAGATAGACAATAAACAAATAATTATATAAATACACTTGTTTCAGATGGTGATAAATGATTGCAGCCAAGTAAGGCAGAATTTTATCTGGGGTTGAACCTCTTAAAAGGGTGACTGAGGCAGATCTCCCTGACAAAGATAGTTAACACACTCTTCCATTGGACTACTACACTACAGTGAACAGAGGCTCCTGTTCTCCCATCAGCCTTCTTGTGACTATATGTTAAATTCAGAGACTGTTAGTTTAAGTGAGCCATGAGGCCAAAATCCTCCTACTGTGCAGTTTATTTCATTCAAGTTGGACAAAGCAGAGAGTGAGAAACCCAGAGTCACCAAGAGGAAATTATAGGAGGCAGAAGAGATTTGACAACCCGTAAACTGGCCCCAGTTAACCCATCAGATGGGTGTCTGCTCCCACTGATAGATTACAGAAGGCGGCACCAAGAGCGTCCTGCTTGTGGGCCTCCTCCCGGATGTTTGCATGTGTCTGTTGCTCTTACTCAGTCCAGGGCTTTCTGCTTGGTGAAATGAAGTAAGACAACTGGAGAGAGAAGGGTGTTAGCCCGGTTGTTAGAGAGGACAACCCAGGGAGAGTTTGGTCAAGGAAGGACAGTTCCCAGATGCTCTGGGGCTGGGTGAAGCCTCACCCCACGATGGAGCAGAGGCCACTTCTGCCTGTCCGTCTGCCTGCTGGTCTGCCGTCCACCATCACCCTAAGGAGGCAGGCAGAGGCCGGGGAGTGGATGTCCTGGGGGCTCTGCCACTGTACCCGCTCTTGGTGCCAAATTTGTACCCTCAGCCTTGGGGACCCAAGGTGCCAGGGTTAGAAGAGTGAGTATTCTGGGTGCACATTGGCAGAAACAGATTGGGGTCTAGCCCAGACGCCTCCATCTTCAACATCCCGCTCCCTTGGGGAGACCTGTCCTGTTCCCACCTTTGTCTCTAAGAGTGGAACAGATGGGACCTCGGCTCCTGCGAGTCCACGTTTGACTGTGGTGGGCATTTCCAAGGAATTGGGCTATCTCAAGTCAGCTGAAGACTTGATCCCGCCCCAACCTGGGTCATTGTAATATCTCAGGGGAAATTACCCTTCATGTGGTTCATTTCTCCCTCTAGTCCACCCCGACCCACTCATTCTGTATGCAAACAGGTGATCAGATCTCAGAAGTCTCCAAGATTCCCCATTTCACTTCTAAATCTCAGTTGGTGCCCCAAGGCCCTCTCACCTCTAAGACCTCATTCCTGCCACGCCCTGTTACTCCCTCTGATTCTCAGCTCAGGGTTGCCTCACACCTGGCTCTTCCCACTGGGGGTGCCTTCAACTCCATCAGGTCTCTGCAGATACCCCATCCTCAGGCTGACCTCTAAGAGTGGTTTTAGGGGGTTCCTGAGCACTCGTTCGCATCAACCAACTGGGTTTTCTTCTCAGCACTTAGCATCGTTGGAAACTACTGTCTGTATTTTATTGTGTCATTGTGTCTCTGAGTGAACCACAGGGCCTATTTTGTTCTGGCAGTGTGGCCAGTGGCCAGAGTCATGCTCCTGCTGACCAGTGTTGGCTGTCTGGCTGACTAGACACGCGCTACCACTCCGGGAGCAGCAGGTGGCACTTCCAGTGGGCCAGCAAGAGTTTTGGTTGATTTTCCTTTTTTTTTTTTTTTTAAAGATTTTATTTATTTTTGTGTAGAAGAGCTGGGGTACAGGCCAGAGGCACAGGGGTTGAGAGGATTCACCAGAGACAGAGTGGGGAGCAAAACAAGTGAATCTACTGAAATACACTGTTGAGAGGAGCAACGGGCAAGACTGGAGAGGTCTGGTGCGCCGTGTGGGTCAGCTCCCTGGCCGGGGATTGAACTCATGTTCGAGTGGCAGCGTAGAGTTTGATAGTGCTGACTTTAACCCCTGTGCCACCAGGGAGGCCCCTGAGTTCATTTTTAAGGTATGGAAATTTCACAATTTGATATAAATGCATAATTTGACACCAGTATACAAAACAATTCCTATTCAAATCATGACTGCTTTATTATAGGGTTTTCAAATACATTCTTTTTCAGCTTAAGAAAACAGGCAGCTACTGAAGACCTCTGTGCTCTTGACAAACATGGAAGCCTCAGAAATAGGGAAAGAATTGTAGTGTGTCTAATAGTTCAGGGTTTTAGTAAGTAGTTTAATGCAGCTTCCTGCAAGGAAGCCACCCCACCCCGCCCCCCGCCCCCCAACCTTCCGTGCTGGTCCACAGGCCTGTTCCTCGGCAGGGCTGCGCACTCAGTGAATCGGGCAGGCAGGTGTAATTGAGTCTGCCTGAGGCTTGACCAGCAGCCTCCTGCTCAGGCAGCGTAACCGAGGCTTTGTGTCTGCCCTGAGACTCAGCTTGGGATGCTGAGTTCTGTGGGCAGTAGCTGGGCTGTCATCCCAGGCCTGGGAAGAGAAAGGTAGTCTTGCTCCCAGCACACACAAGTGCTAGGCCAGCCTTTGTCTGGACAGAGTCCGAGCAGCTCAGGAAGGGCCCCTCCCTGGGACCACCCATTTGTTAAACAAGCCTTGCAGCTTCTCTGTAAAGCTCCATGGGGTTGTGTGTACCTGCGTTAGCCCCTACACTGGGCACTGTTGGGGCTGCCTGCCCGCTGCAGGCTTCGGTGGCTCTGGCTCCAAGGACAGGCTGTGGTCACCAGCAGCCGGCGGGCCTGCACCTCCCCACTCAGCACATCGGTCCCTTTCGCCTTCCGCAAAAAAGATTGTGCACACATGTGGCATCCAGCTGCAGCCAGCGACGCAGAGTTGGCACCAGCTCCGTGGGGGCAGTGGGCCCACCTTAAGCGCCTCTAGCGGGAGTCCAGATCACAGACTGAGGGGCTGGAGGAGGACCCATTGGGCCAGAAAGCCTAACCTTCACTGCTGAATGGGATGAAACGGGCTGGAGATGAGAGCCAGGCTGGAGATGCGTGCCAGGCTGGAGATGAGTGCCAGGCTGGAGATGAGAGCCAGGCTGGAGATGAGAGCCAGGCTGGAGATGAGTGCTGGCCAGAGCCCCTCCCTGTGGGCGCCTCCTGGTGAGCCAAACCTGCTGCCTGGGGCCCTGATCTTGCCATCAGGGTCCTAGAAAACAGCTTTTCTCCGGGATGCCACCCATCACGGAACATTGTTTTGTTGTTTTAGCAATGTCCCACACTTATTAAAAGAAACATTTTTTAGCTCTAACCAGGTACAGCATTTGGGTATCTCCTGTTCCATCTGTCCTGGTACCAAGCTAAGGTGGGGGCACTTGTATGGGGGCTCACCAAAGTCGCTGGTGTCCAGGTCCTCCTCAGATGAGCGGGCCTTCTGCAGCTCGCAGACCCTGCACCTGGCACATGGCACTGCGGGGGAGGGGGCTAGTGAGGTGCCCACTGGGCCCCAGCTGGGTGTGGGGGAGTCATTAGCCCTGGTCTCCTCGCTCTCTCATACTTCCTTACCATTTATGAAAAAGGCAGCTGCTGTGGCTGGTCCCTTCCCCTCCAGAGACCACTTGGCTGACCCCTGTGGGAAGTGATTGGAAAGTGTGGGGCTGATGGTCCCTGTGGCTGCCCAGGCAGAGTGAGGTCATGCAGACACCCACGTGAGCGGCCGGGGCGGGAGCCGTTGGAGATGGCTACGACACAGAGCCCGTGACTGGTAGGGAAGCCTCACAGTGCAGGATGACTGGCCAGGGGTAACCATAGCAGGCCATGATGGGGGTGCAGCTGGCTTGCACAGCCTCACACAGACTGAGGCGTGGGTAGATGACCCTGCAGGGGAGGGCAACATAGGCAGGGTGCTTGGAACCAGGCTGGGCATTGAGTATTCCTAATAGGCACTGGCCCTAACTCCGGTTGCTGGGCAACGGTGCCCTGGTCACCTAGCAACAGCCTTGCTGCCTGGCTTTCTGCATGCTGGAATCTCCACCCTCAGCCCCACTCCACTGCGTTCCTCCTCCCAGCACTATGTCTTCTATCCCCTCACCCCTTCCCTATGCCCAGACTGCTTTCCAGTGCTCCTGCCCCTCCAACTCCAGTGGACAGATGTGCCTGGGTGGAGGGTGGGAGAGGCCCTGTTTTCTGGACCTTTGTTCCTTAGTTTGGAGGGAGAAAGACCTGCGGCACACTTGGCTTCCAGTGCTGATGTTGCCAGAATGCAGGGCAGGTTCTTGGATTCAAAAGAACCCCTTTTGGGGGCCTCCCTGGTGGCACAGGGGTTAAAATCTCAGCTCTGTCAAGCTGTTGCCAGCCACTACAGCATGAGTTCAATCCTTGGCCAGGGAGGTGACCCACATGGCACAGCAGACCACCCGTCTCACCAACTGCTCCCCTCAGCAGTGTATTTCAGTCCATCTGCCTGTTCTGCTCCCACTCTGCCTCTGGTGAATCCTCTCACTCCCACACCTCTGGCCTGTACTCCAGTTCTTGTATGCGTAAATAAATAAAAATAAATCTTTTTTAAAAAAAAAAACAACTCTTTTTTTTTTTTTTTTGGCATGGTCACCCCGAGGCTCTGGGAACAGCCCTTTCTCTATAAAGAAAGTGTTCACCAAATAGGTTGGGCTGGGAGGAGGAGTCTGCCCTGGCTAGCTCTAGGCTGGGGAAAAAAGCCACTATTGAACTGGAGTTCCTGCCACCTCCCAGCCTACAGGGCCTCCCCATCTGCTCTGCTGACATTCAAGAGCCCTGGGTGATTGTGGGTCCAGACCAAGCGTGTTCACCATTGTGGTCCCCTGCCTGCTGTCTCCTCTGCCCACTGGGACCTGCCCCCTCTGCCGGGAATACTGACAGGACATCTTCATCTGTCCCACCGTCAGCACTGGCAGACTGGCACAGTGCCCAGTAACCCACCCCACCCCCACCCCTGTACCTGGCAGCTCCAGCCTCACCTGTCAAGGCACACAGGGGCAAAGAGGAAGATGCGGGGTCAGGGTGGCATCCCCATGCCAGCAGGCTGACTGTTGGATGGCCTCGCTGGGGTGTGGTGGTCCAGCAAGATGGGCAGCCGCATCTCTGTGTATCCAATGTCTCGGCACAGTGCCACGGTGGGGGGATGGGCATGCACCGTGTGGGGCCCCAGGGAGCCCCTTGCCCAGCATCACCCACAGCACCTAGATCCATCACCTGCTCTCGCAGTCTTGGTCTCAGTGGGCTGCTGTTGAGGGCGAGGGGGGGCTGTGTCCACATACCACATACCCCAGGAGCCAGCTTTTGCCGCGGTGTTTGGGTGCATCTGGGGAGTGCCGGCCTAGGCTATTTGCATTTGATTAGCACTTGGTGGGGGACTGTAGAGGTTGGGCCTGGGCCTGCCGGTAACCCGCTAACCTATAAGCAGCTCCTAATAAACTGCAGAAACCTGGGCCTGTGTTTTCTTTATCTGGTTTACTTTTCTTTCTTATTTTTTTTTAAGCGATCAGGAGGCGATTTTCTTGATCAGCAATTGGTAGAGCCCGTTGTCCATGAGCGCCATGAGCGCCGCGCCCCCTGCTCCCAGCCCAGCTCACACCCTGCGGGGGTTAGCCAGGTGCTGTCCAGCAGCCAGGGGTGTCCCACCCTCCTTGTCAGCACACCTGGGTCACCTGCACGCGGAGCTGACTCTGGTCCTGGGTGTGGGTGACCCAGGGCAAGTCACTAGTTTGCCTGTGCCTGGGCTTCCTCTTGAATAGCGAGGGGAAATAACAGGACCTACCTTTCAAGGGTAAGTAAACAGAGAAAGGAGTTGATGGTGTGCTTAGGACAGGCTAACACAGTCTGCTACTAAAGTGTGATCTGCTGTGGTTGCTTAAAAACACAGCGGTATCACTGTCACTTTGTAAAACTGCCTCCCAATGGGCCTCCGCGTGCACAGCACTGCCCCTGTCCGAGCCAGGGCAGCACGAGCTCTGAGGTCAGAGCCCCGGAGCTGACCCACATGGCGAGGCAGACCTCTCCTGTCCCACCCGCTGCTCCCCTCAGCAGTGTACTGTCAGTCTGCCTCTTCTGCTCCCCACTCTGGCCTGTACCCAGTTCTTTTGTGCATAAATAAATCTTTTAAAAAAAAAACAAGCTGCCTCAGAATGGCCATTTTAAAACTGGCTCAGTCTTGGCTGTGGCTGCAGCCTCCTTCTGGGAGTGTGACCCCAGAAGGGCTGCTCTCTGCAGGCTGACCTGGCCTTGTGGTGGCACTGTCCATCCTCGAGTCAGTTCCGTGTGGACTTCCGCTGAAGGCAGGCCTCTCCCAGGACTAAGGAAAGGGTGGCAGGCCCAGGCTTCTGCTCCGAAAGTGCCTGGGACCCCTGGGATGTGGGCTGTCTGGGTATGAGGCTGGGGACCCTTAGCAAGCTACTTGCAGACATGAGTGTGGGCCGCCAACTCTGATGCCGGCTGATCTTCACTCAGGGGCTCAGCCCGCTGCTCTTGAGTGACAGCAGCGGGCATTTGCTTACAAAGGAGTTGGGGAAGCCAAGGATCCTGAGGGCGTCTCCTCCAGGCCAGCATCTGACAGAAGACAGAGTGAACCCCGCTGACCTTTGAGCTGGGTCAACTCAGCCACTCTGTGGGCTGCATGATGACCCACGGTCAGCCAGATGTCAGCACCCCCTCATGCAGGGGTGCATGCAAGGCTGGCCTGAGCACTGAGTGTCTCCCATCACTGGCTTTCACTTGCACAATGCTGAAAAGCAAGAGCCGGCCCCCATGCCCTTTACTTTAGAGATGCATACCCAGGAGGCAGCGGAGGGGAAATTCAAGTTCACCCTTTGGTTCCACCCTAAGGTGAATTAACCCACGGCCAGCTCAGATCGGGCTCACCTCCCAGGCACCTCTGGAAAATGTGTCCTCTCAGCTACAAAGAGAGGCCCCATGTTTTACAGGCTGGCCAACCTCTGCATAAGAATCCAGCCTTGGAGTCAGGGTCCACAGCAGATATAAAGGGGTGTATGAAGTTCTCCTGACTTGATGACTACTGGGGGACAGGGAGTACCCAAGAGCCCCCAAAGAGGAAGGCACTGGGTGCATCAGTGCCCTGGCTGAGTCCTTGGCCTCACCACATCCTCTTCTTTTTTATCATTATTATTATTATTTTTATTTTTTAAAATAATATAACAGTTTATTTTTACATCATTTTGTACACTTTTTTTGTTTTTATCTCAATTGTAATCCCCCTGGGCTTCCCATCACCAAGTCACCCGTGTGCCATCACCATAGTTCTGTGCACTTCCTCCTCCCCTCCCCCCCTGTTTTTGATCCCATTCCCCACTCCACCCCCTCAAAATGTCTCTGGTATATGGTTGTTCATTATTTTTGTTATTTTCTCGCCTGGTCCATTATACTCCTGCTATGAGTGAAACCATCCGGTATTTTTCTTTCTCTTTCTGGCTTATCTCACTAAGCATGATCTTTTCCAGCTCCATCCAAGTTGCTGCAAAAGACATGTGTTTCTCTTTTTTGGTTGCTGAGTAATATTCCATTGTATCTATGTACCACATCTTTCTAATCCAGTCATCTACTTTTGGGCATTTGGGCTGCTTCCATGTTTTTCCAATTGGAAATAAAACAGCAATAAACATGGGGGTGCAGGTATCTTTTTCAATCAGTGTTTTTGTGTCTTTTGGGTAAATACCTAGGAGTGGGATTGCTGGGTCGTAGGAAGCTCCATGTTTAGCAGTTTGAGGAACCTCCAGACAGTTTTCCATAGCTCACCACGTCCTCTTCTGACAGAAATCCCTGGCTTCCTGAGTGATGAGGAGTGTCGGCTCATCATCCACCTGGCACAGATGAAGGGGTTACAGCGCAGCCAGATCCTGCCCACCGAAGAGTACGAAGAAGCCATGGGCACAATGCAGGTCAGCCAGTTGGACCTCTTCCGGCTGCTGGACCAGAACCGTGATGGACGCCTACAGCTCCGTGAGGTTGAGATCTCAGTGCCTGGACTGGGCATAGGGTGGGCGTGTCCAGAATTGTCTTTCTGGTGACCAGTCATTTGTCCAGTTCAGCCTTGGCCCCAAGGGTCAGGTGCCACCCCACGTCACTTTGGGCATATGTAGGCCCAAGGTCCCCTTCCTTCCTGGAGAGCTCTTACCATCCTGGGAACCCCAGAAGGCGGTACCTGGAGGATGGTGGCATATATTGCTGCAGTACCAGGGTGGTGTACTGTCTGAGATCTGGTTTTCTTGCTACTGTGGCTGGGAGCCCCAAAGAACTCATGTTTGATGGGATGGCAGCTCTGAGGTGACTAGAAGTCTCCATTTCTCTCTGCGAGCCCCTCATACTCAGGATGTAAGGGAAGTCTGAGGGGTGTGTGGGGTCCCTGGCATACACAGTGTGCTCTAGTGAGATTGGGCTTCCTGGGGCATCTGCCTCCTGCCAGCCAACAATGATTGCCATGGAGGTCACACTTCCCAGGTCACACTGCGATTGCCGATGACCTCCGTCCTCCTGGTCTTCCCCCCAGATGCCTCGAGACCCTCTATCTACCCTCACTTCAGCTCAGGGGACTCTGACTCTGTCCTGTGTCCTTGTTTCTGTGCTTCATCTGAACCCTTGGGTCTGCAGCAAGAACTGGGCCTCTTTCTGTGTTTTTGTGGCTCTCCATCATTGGGGCCAGCCCAGTGAGAGGCCATCCTGTACTTCAGGTCCTGGCCCAGACTCGCCTGGGGAATGGGCGGTGGATGACCCCAGAGAACATTCAGGAGATGTACTCTGCAATCAAGGCTGACCCAGATGGTGATGGTGAGCTCATACCTGCCACAGTTCTGGCCCTGTGACCCTCCTATCCCCAAGCCAAGCAGCCTGAGACAGGGAAGAGGACTAGCCTCGCCCTCACCCCGGGGAGACAGAGAGGAGCTAGACCGTCCCCTCCCCTTTGGTGACATCTAGAGGGCAGTTCTTAGAGACGCTCATCAGGCAAAATATGGGATATAAGAAGTAGGGTTGCTGGTTGCAGAGAACAGGAGCAAAGAGATAGTAAGGCCACTTGAAATAAGCTGTTCAAAAGAAAGAAGCTGTTGACTCTGCTCTATCTGCCACTCTCCAACAAGGCACAGGATCCACACAGCAGACAACCTCCCTGGTCTAAGCCGAGTCTCCCTGCCTCCTCACCCTTGCCCACCTGGAATTGTGCTCACTGTTGGGGGGCAGGTTTGGGCAGGGAAGCTGTTGTGTTACGTGTTACCCCTGTGGTAATAGCACTAGGAGGTTTACAAGGTATAGTTGTGATCCTCAATCTCAATTTCTGAGTCAACTTAGGAAGATAGTACAGTCAAATAGGACTCAGAAGAATGAAATTGTGGCCGGTGAAACGAGAGCAGAGAATCTGGAACATGTTGCTGCTGCTGCCCGGTGTACAGAGCTGGTAACAGGCTCAAAACACTGTACACCTGAGTGACCCCAAGCGCAGAGATCTGGGCCGAAGGGTGGAGGGTGGCTTCCTTGAACCGGCAGGGTAACACGGAACAAGGACCTCAGCTAGGATTTTAGCGCCACGACGAGGGAGAGCCCTTATTTTGTGGTTTAACAGGAGCAAAGGGAAAGTGTTCTCCATGGAGGCATGGCTTTCTCTGCTGAGGTGGACGGGCAGCCCAGTGGCAGGGCTAGGTGGTAGTCTGGATAGAACTGGTGTCATAAGGGGACCCGTAGGGACTAGCCCGTTTACAGTCTGTAGCATGGAAGGCCCTGGACAAAACCCAGCTCCCATTGCTCTGTTTCTTCACCCTCTGCAGGACCGGAGGATGGCCACCACACTCTATAGAGCCAGGCTGGAGGACCAGGGGCAGTTCTTGACCGAGGGTTCTGGCCACATGACTCAAGCTTCCTTTAGAGCTCTGGCCAATCTAGTAGTGGTTGGGCTCCTTCCTTGGGGGGGGGGCCAAATCAGGGTTTGAACTGAGGAAATTAACTTTTCTGGGCCTTCCCATAGGGCCTGATATTACAGAATCCAGTTTCATGTGACCCAGAAGTCCAGATGGGGAGCAGGTGCACATGCTCCCCAGTGCCTAAAGCCAGGAACTACTGGCCCCTTTGGGGTAGGTAGGAAGGTGCAGCCTGCCACGGGGGCTTCCCCAGTGGGCGTGGTGGGCACTGATGGCAGGTGCCCTGTGCAGGGGTGCTGAGCCTGCAGGAATTCTCCAGCATGGACCTTCGGGACTTCCACAAGTACATGCGGAACCACAAGGCCGAGTCCAGTGAGCTGGTTCGAAACAGCCACCACACATGGCTTTACCAAGGGGAAGGGGCCCACCACGTCATGCGAGCCATACGCCAGAGGTGAGCCCCGAAGCTGTCCTCCCTGTGCAGTCCCCACAGAAGTCCTTGAGTAGAGCCCAGAGGACAGAATTGATTAGCCAAGGCAGGGCTGTTAGACAGGATAGAATCCATTCAAGGAAGGCAATTACAAAAGCAAATGAACCCTAACTGTGGACAAACAATTCACATTTGGGATTAGAAATAGATATTTGTCTTCTGCTAATTAGAGAAATGAACTGTTATTTCTGTCAATAGGACCCCTTGCCCCTGATCAGCCAGGGGGTTCAGATAAACTCCTGGGGAGGCGTGCCCCGCAAAGTACTGAAAACCTAACTTTCCCCACCTAGTGGCCGTCCTGTCCTGAGTAACCCCTTCCTCTTCCTATAGAGCCAGCAAGGGTGTCTTAGAGAGCCGGGCAGAGCTGGCGGCGGGTGGGGTGCGCCGCTGAATGCTCACTCCTCCCCAGGGTGCTGCGCCTCACCCGCTTGTCACCCGAGATCGTGGAGCTCAGCGAGCCGCTGCAGGTTGTGCGGTATGGCGAGGGAGGCCACTACCATGCCCACGTGGACAGCGGGCCTGTGTACCCAGAGACCATCTGCTCCCACACCAAGCTGGTTGCCAACGAGTCTGTCCCCTTCGAGACCTCCTGCCGGCAAGTACCTCTCACCTGGGGGCTGCTTTCACTCCCACAATAGGCACGAAGCAAGTACAGTCATGCACTGTGGGCCTGGCTCTTGGTGTGGGGCCAGGAGGGAGCAGTCTGGTCAAGGACATCCAGATCTCTCTCCTCAGACTGTCTACCAAGTGGCAGTAAAGGGGTGGCCGTCAGGTCTTAGTGGCCAGAATAAAGTACCCAAAGATACCAGAACTTGTCCCTAGGCAAGGGGAAGACTGGACCCCCAGGTCTCTGCCCATTCCTGTGTGTTGAAACTGCTCCACTACTCGAGGCCTCGGCTTCTGCCTTTGAAGTTGTGTTCCCCTCCTCTGCCAAGGTGCACAGACAGGTCTCACTCTTGATGTGGCTTCTCTGGCCGGGCCCTTAAGAGTACAGGCTGCATGATCTTGCTGCTGCTTCTAGCCAGCCTTTCCCAGCTGGCTGTTAGTCAGGGCCACATAATTTAGCTAATATGTACTTGTTTTTTTTTTTTGTTTTTTTTTTAAAGATTTATTTATTTATGCATATGAGAACTGGGGTACAGGCCAGAGGTATGGGGGTGGGGTGAGAGGATTTACCAGAGACACAGTGCGGAGCAGAACAGGCAGATTGACTGAAATACACTGCTGAGGGGGGCGGCGGGCGGGCCAGAAGAGGTCTGCCATGCCATGTGGGTCAGCTCCCTGGCCGGGATTGAACTGGTGCTGCAGTGGTTGTGGAGAGCTTCATAGTGCTGTGCTTTAACCCTTGGCCACAAAAACATTGACTGGGTTTGTCAAAGGACTGGCTAGGGGCATCTTGGCATGGTTGTAACCGACCCCAATCTGCCCCTGTGGCCCTTGGGAACCTGGGCAGCTATCCTGCCCACCGGATATTGGGAACACCTGCAATTGGGGACTTGCTCAACAGCCCCCCTGCCTTTCAGCTATATGACTGTGCTGTTTTATTTGAACAATGTCACCGGTGGAGGTGAGACTGTCTTCCCTGTAGCAGACAACAGAACCTATGATGAAATGGTAAGGGCCCACTGGGCTGTTCCTCTGGCGGGATGGTAGGGCCCTGGATGAATCAGCACCTTGCCCTCCAGACCTGGGACGAGGGTCCTCTGGCCAGCTTTGGCTTCCTGGCCTTGGTTCCTTGGTTTCATGGGGGCAGCATGAAAACCTCGCCACCCTGCTGCCCACAGAGTCTGATACAGGATGATGTTGACCTCCGTGACACCCGGAGGCATTGTGACAAGGGGAACCTACGTGTCAAGCCCCGGCAGGGCACAGCAGTCTTCTGGTACAACTACCTGCCCGATGGACAGGGTAAGGGCCTATGGCCAAGCCAGGGGTACCCAGAGAGAAGCTTCCCTTGACTCAGCCCCTTCCTTGTTATCCTGGGCTGTTTATCGCTGCTCTGCAAATGGTTTTCTGCCCCCAGTGCTTCCAAAGACCATCCTCAGTGACTTTAGCAGCCTACAGCTATGTGGCCTCCTGGGCTGTGTTCACCCTGGTGACTCCCAGATGATAGCCTGGTTCACTGGGGCTGGGATCATAGGTCCCTCATCAGCCCAGGTGAGGAAGGGCTGGCGGACAGCCCTGGCAACAAGCAAGCCGAGTTCAGAGTCCCGGGGGTATTGGTTGGGGAGAAGTGCAGAGCCCCGCAGAAGGCCCAGGGGCCAGGTAACACTACTGAAGATGCACACAGCTGGTCCCCCCCCCCCCCGGCCATTTCCAGTGTTAGGAACGTAGAAGGCAAGCTCAGGTGTGCCCATCGTGTCCCTCTCCTCGCTCACACCGTCTTCTCTGCTAGGTTGGGTGGGCGACGTGGACGACTACTCCTTGCACGGGGGCTGTCTGGTCACCCGGGGCACTAAGTGGATCGCCAACAACTGGATCAATGTGGATCCCAGCAAGGCGCGGCAGGCCCTGTACCAGCAGGAGATGGCTCGCCTGGCCCGCGAAGGTGGCGCGGACTCGCAGACGGAGTGGGCCCTGGACCGAGCCTACCGCGACGCGCGCGTGGAGCTCTGAGGGGAGTGTGGCCGGGCCCCCTAGGAAGGTGGCTGCCCCCCAGGCGGGGTGGAGGGGGGAGGGCCCTGCCATCCCGTCCAGCCCCAGGCCCGAGGCCTGGCCGCGATCGCCCCCCTCCAGCACAATGAGGACGCAGCCCTATATTCATATATTTATTGTGTACAGACCCTGTTGCCCCATTAAATAAAAATTACCCGGC